TTCACTGCGCAACGGGAGGCAGACGTAGTAGTCAAGTAGAGCTTTGGCCGCAACGAGACCCATCCGGAGAGCCTCGATCTGAAATGAAACTTCACGTCTTGGGCTCTGTGTACTGGGCTTATTATCAAACAAACTGATCTGGCAAAGATACAGTTCGGCCGTATAGTATTGCATGAAAAGGATATCTGTGTCATCAGTATCACGATGAAGTCCATCATAAGCTGCTTACTTACTGTTCTCATGCAACGGACACGGTAGACTAGCCCGATATTGCTCCAGCTCTAGTTTCATCTCACGAAAAGAACGCTCACTGCTTGAGCCAGGACCGTGGGTCCCTAAAATGTTCTGTGCTGAGATAGAAGTGATCTTCTCCGAAAGCCGTTGAAGCTGCACTATATGGAGTAGGTGCTGGTCGGAGGCATACTCGGCATCTGTGGCCAAGTGCTTGCAGCATTCATCAAAATAAGGCATGTACGAAAAGGTGCACTGCTTGTGTAGGATTTGCGAAACGCTACGAGCCGTTAATTCTAGTACTAACATGTAGAAGCTACACTTACCTCGATGAAAAGTAGAAAATTCCGAGAACGGCCCGTCTCTCATCATGCCCCCAAGACACCGACTCTTTGTGTTCTTCCGGATTAAAGTTCACTCGAGTCCTCCAGAGCCGATATTCAGGCGCGTGATCCAATTGCAGGTCCGTGATAATGCTGATCGCAAGATGCAGATATTGCGAGAACCGGCGTGGCCGTGAATGATATTGACACCTAGACCTGTCAGTTCAGCATACAAACATAGACTATCAGGCGTACCATGCAATGTGGACTAGCAGCCCTTGCAGCACCTCGAATGAGACTGGTCCATCGAAGATCATGCAGTCGCTAATCTTCTTCTTCACCTCTTTTTCGAGCATACGCTGCAGAGGCATGTTGTCATACAGAGTAGCCGTCAAGATGGTAAGGAAAAGAAACGGCTTGTCTCTCCTGAGGCTCTCAGCAGAGGTCTGTGGTGGGATGACTACGAATGGACAATGAGGCATAAGCGTTGCGCGGAATTCATTCAGCAGCATATTGGCGGCGTCCACGGTAAGCAAGCCTTTGTCAATGGCATCTTTGGATTGTGATGCAGTGCTTGCAGGACTTTCCTCGGTTGTGCTGCTATTTCTCTAGAATACGATTAGTCTCTGCATAGCGAATGGAGAGTGTTGTACGCACCGGTATTGGGCATACCGACGTCGCTAGCAGCTGGTCGACTTTGGCTTCGAGTAGATCGATCCTCCTTTCGCGCGATGAGAAGACGAACTACATGGTCCGAGGTTCGCAACTCACTTGTCCTTGCTATCTCTCTTGATCCCTCCATTTGTGCTTCGAGACTCTGGGAAATGACACTCCTTCCCTAGGCGTTCGCATCTAGACCTAGTAAGCCAACCAAACAATCAGCTCGCTCAGACAAGCTCACCGATCGCAGCTCCCGGTAGCCCCGTGGCGGATGCACCGTATCTTGGCCCTGGCACAATTCTGACATGTCCTTACTGAGCCGTTAGAATACCGGCTCCTGGGACGGGAAAGCTCAGATTGGATCAAGTGAGCCATCACAGATGGAGATTTCCGCGTCAGCACTGCATTCGATAGATCCGACGGTCAACCGGTGATCTTGAAAGCCTGCAGGAAGTCGAGCGATCCATTCGAGTTCCGTGCGCAGACCGAGCGAGATGACAAGGGGAGCTGGATGGAATGGGACCATGTAGACCCCAGCCATGGAGATTAAAGCAGATTAGCTCGAGTCCACCGAGGCGAAGCGAAGCTGGCAGATGCGGGGCGGGAGTTTGTACCCGCCAGCCACACTAATGCCGCCCGGTCACGTCCACTGCCTCTTGGCGCGTCAGCTCCCTTCCTCTCTGCTGCAAATACCGGTTTGCATTGAGTTCGAACACTTTGCCTGAGCTTTGTTTAGAAACTACCAAGTATATCCGAGTATATCAATCTAAGACGACTGGTTGTCGCGATCAGACTTCGAGGCCGTGCGATGTACCGAATCCGCGATGCTTCCTTCCATGGTTCCTCGCAGATATACTCTCTCACCAAGTGGGTCCAATGCCAGTGCACCAGCGCATTTAGACCTTGAGTACGAATTGGCTTCTTTGTCTGAGCTGTTGCTCGTGTTGGGAACCACCATCCAATCATCGAAGCCAACCTGAGGGAAGAATGACGCTTCCATTCAATTGAAGCTATCGCGCATGGATATGCTCGGAACTGCCTACTGCTGTTGTGCCTGTTCCTCGGCCGGCGGGCATGACAGGGCACCAATCAGTGACTGATTTATCGCGAGAAATGCTGTTCCCAGATGTCATGTAAAAGGGATGTAGCTCAAGGTTCCGGGATGATGGTTCCATGTATCCTCTCCGGGCCACTAACCATCTGCAAGCCGGGCTATGGCTTGCTTTCTATATATGAATCAATATTGAAAGAGGAAAGACGTGCGCATAGTTAGCCTTACTTAGTTTACTAGCAGTCACGATACAGTCCCTAGCCCATTGCGTTATTGAGCCGCGGAGATGACTTGGCGAGCGAATGGCTAGACTAACTCACCGTTCACTCTACTATGTACGGAGTAGCTACTGACTTCTGCATGACAGCCTTCCGGGTGACTATATGAGTACAGGCGCATCAGACGACAGAATAAACTTCCCCAGGCATGCTATATTAATCGCCGCTTTCAACAGTCAAGTAAATCCAGGGGCTAATTGCATGAGGTCATCTGGAGCTCATAGATCCGGAGAAATCTAGATTGCGAGAACGCGAAGACGACTCCATGTCTAGATCTGGTCTGGCGACAAGGCAAAGGTGATGCGATTCGTATCTGCTGCCCAATCCATGGCACAATCCATCCATGTTTCTGGAGTATGGCTCGGAGTAGAGTTTGTAGAAGACATGGATGTGATGGCAATATCAGTATCACGGAGAAGAATCCCACTTGCCGTGAAGTCCATGCTGACAGGATTGGTTCGGTAATCTGTTCTGAATACCATAACTGGTGACATGAAAGCTAGCTTCTCAAGATATGGTGAAGAACGAAGTGTGTAGAGAGGCTAGTGCATCATTGGGGGTTATTCTGTGACGCTGTAAATTGTATAGCCAATTATAGACCTTGAATACAAAATATCTTGTCCCACCAGTCAATGATTATTACTTACTAAGGAGGTAGTCACACAGCGATGGCTCAGTCTAGGCCATGGGAGCAAAGTAGGTCTTCTGCACTGCGTCGTAATCTGGGGTCTGCGGAAATGTTCCACCAAGTTGCCTGGCATTTTACTAAGGAGATCACGAGATAGGTACGAAGCTTGAGACACGATAAGGCGTACCGCAGCTATCAGAGTGCTTTGTGAAACATTGGCAGGTACAGGGCTCTACAAGGACGATCTTGGTGACGTTTCCACTCTTGCAGTATCGGTCAACGTAGTTCAATGGAGAGTGGTTTCCTCTCGTGGCTTATGAGATGGCGGTCTTGGCTTTGTTGGTGAGAGAATGCCACGCTACAATCGGTTGGCCGAACGGAGAAAATCCGCCCTCGGTGCTAAAATAGTATGCTGGCACCGACGTTGTAAAATGGGAATCCCTCGATGATTCTGGGGATTGACCCTAATTAATTTATCGAGTTGTTTGCGGCACCCCAAGCAACCTTAAAGGACTGTACTATCGAATGGCGATAGAAGTCAGCAGGTGTTGGGAACGAGACAGAGTCTGGAACGGGAACACAGTTGGTTAGTAGTAAAGTTCGGCGGAGTGGATCAGAAACCGTCAGCCTCATTGAATTGAGAGGGAACCATCGTAGCCACATATGATGTATGGAAAACTCAAATGGCGGACGGATTGGACGTATAGCATGGCTCGGTTCATAAGGGTGGTGAGCTGAGGATGCCTAGTGTGACTGGACACATGAACTACGGAGAGGAGCAGAGCAGATGGAATGGATGGGCGAAGCAGGCAAATATAGAAGCGGACTGACTTGGATGCGCCCGAGTTTTGAAACAGCTGAGTTGACCACGTTGATTGGCAGCCGGGACGATGATCGGGGAAAAGGCTGCGGACGAATGGGTGGCCCGGATGGCATATCTCAAACCACCGGGAGGGGAAAGGGTTGAAACAGGATCTTCAAGGAATGTAGATTGGTTTAGTTGGTTACTCGGGAAGGGGGAGTGCTGAGGTCATTCGGAAGGATCATGTCTCGAGAAGGAGGCAAGGGGAAGGAAGGAGGCAGAGAACGAGTAAGTCAAGGAGGAAAAAAAAAAGAAGGGAGAAAGACTGTAAGATGGGGATGTGCAAGTTGGAAGTGAATGATGACTCTCTCTCTCGGTCGGAGTTGTCCCGTCCAAGAAGGAGAGATGGCTGGATGGATTGGATGCTTTTGGATACTTTTGATTTTCTGGTTCTCACACCCACCCGTCCATCCATCCATCCACACCCACACTCTCTCTTCTCTCTGGTGTCCTTCTCCTACTTGATTCTACAACGGTAGAACAATAGAGTGGTAAGTACCACCGTCGTACTTTGCAGGGAGGGATGGGGCAGTGGATCCCCTCCCACACAGTCAGAAATACTACTAGCCACGCAGTTGATGCCCAAGTGGGCTGGACTGGTCATGTTTTTGAGACTGAAAACGGAGCCATCGCCTTGATTGGCTGCGATGCACGTCAACTGCAGCTTGACCTGGCAGTCAAGTGACGCTGCTGTGCTTTTAGTTGTGTTTTCTGTCTGTCTGTCTGTCTGGTCTTTCATCAGCCCATGGTCGAGTCTGTCTGTCTGTCTGTCGGTTCTGTTCAAAGGGTCTTCGTTATTACTGTCGACCTACTTACCTTACCTCCAACTTACCCTACTTACCATTTTCTTTCGCACGGCCATTCTCAGATTGCCGGGTGCGATCAAGTAACTACCACAACTCCTACTTAACTTACTTCCTACTATACTTTCATTGTATTGTGTTACATCTCCTGCTTACTACTTCTTACTATTACTCCTTCCTACCTACTTCTACTCTATACTTCTTACCCAATCCAGTCCATTGAGACACCCTGTCTCGCTTTCATTTAACTCCCCTTTGCTCTGCCGTCACATCAACGTGCAGGAAAAATGCTAATAGCACCGTTGCCCTGCTACTACATATGACAAAACACCCTGTGTGGGTGTTCAAAAAATAATTAATTCCCCCCCAAAAATACACCAACAAATAAAACAATCCAATTGTGCTCAATGCAACCTCGCAAAATCCCCGGGTGGTCCTCTTTCTCGTTTCATTCTTAACCTTCATCCGCTGGTTCTCAGGTACTACTACTTTCCACCTTCTCCTTTAAGCATCAACAACCGGGTTCGGCGATGCCTGGCGTGGCCATAACCATGGATGTCTGGTCCTCGGGCCATGGATCTATACACCAACAAGCCGCTATGAACTCAATCTCGACATCATCAATTCCCCCCGGTCTCGACCCTGACCCTCTACAGTTATCTACCACGAGTCCGGCCATGTGCCAGCCCGCATTTCCAGGAACATTGTCCCTCCACCACTATCGCAAACAACTCTCCGACAGCGACGCCTTTGCCTTTGACAGTCCAGAGGGACACATCTTGAAGCGCAAAAACGCTGCTATACACCTCAATCAGACCCCGATGTATCCGCATCATTCCGCGCATCCGTTCTCCGTGTCGTCTGCGGCATCGAGTCCTCCCCCGTTGTCCCCATCTTACTCGCCGAGCGCAATGAGTGAGCAGGGGCCAGAGAGTCTCCGGGGGTTTGCTTGTGAGTGACTATGGTTTCGCATGCGAAAGTGTCATAATGGATCAGAATGCTGACAACTATTCCAGTGTCGCCAAATGTAGAACTACATTCGTCGGACAGCCCGATATACTCTAGATCGAACCCTCACAGACTACTGGTAGGTGGTACCCCCGCAACAATTACTTATTTCCTATTCACATAGGTATATAGGACACATTTCGTGACAGATTGGAAAAATACCCGGACTCAAATCCAGACCAGGAAGGGTCCTTTCATAAGCACACCCGAACCCGCTCAGACTCAATCCTATTCAATATGAAAAATCGGACTGCAACCGTTATTGATCATGGCACATCATTCGAAATCGTCAATCCTCATGAATCCCTCAACTTTGCTCGAATAGTCTCGTTTATCGAGGATGTCGACGCTTATTCAGCTCGCGACTCGACCGGCCACCACCGGGAATCTTACATAGAGACGACTGAAGAGCGGCTGACGATATCTGAAGAAGATTACCTTCGGGCCATTGCACCATTGAGCCCAGCGCCAGAAGAAGATGAACAGAAAGTCCACGAAGAGCTCGTGGGCGATACTCCGCACCAGCCCATACCATCCATCTCCGAGCGCCTACAGAACAAAGACTCCGAAGACATGGAATCACGGTACTCACGATCCCCAAATTACACACAACGTCGGCCGCCGCCATTGCGACCGAGGGCTTGGACCGATGAAAGCGATTTGGGGGAGCCGGGTTCCCCCATCCACGAAGACGGTGATTACCCGTCGCCAATGTCATATGCACGTCCATCGACGGCTCCGTTTCCAAGTGACGGACAAATGTACCCAACATCGCCAGTTTCACCCCTAGCAGGGTACTACGACATGAACCTCTGGCAGGGAGGTTCTCCCCTCCAAGACGGACCTGGCATACCCCATCCGCTATACTCGAACCCTCCGTCCCCCTACGCCAGCCCATCACCGTTCCCCTCGCCACACCAGACGCAAAAAATCCACATCCACCACAACATATCCAAACGCTCGCTCGAGAAACGCAAAAAGAACAACAAGGCCAATGCGGGGCCACTAAACCCGTTTAAACGGCTATACAGCATGTTTCGAAAGAAACGGCAGTAACCCGTCGGAAAACCACCCGCTTCTGCAGCAACACTCATTACGATACCCTCACCGCTCCTTCAGCTCCATCTGTCTTTTCTGATTTATTGCCCCCGCAGTAACTTCAGCTCTTGTTGATACTTTCGGCTCCGCCACTTTCTTTCTTATATGCTGCGGATCTGCTGCTCGCCTGCTTACCTGCCGTCTGGTCTGCATGTGCATATGCAGCATCCGTACATGCAGATATGCAGCCATGATTTCTTCGATTGCCCCATTTTATTGATTGACCGACTGATTGATTGATCGATACTTTATGAGCTATACGTATCCTTCCCGTCTACCCTCCCCATTGCTCTCCACTGTGGTTTTCCATCTCCGGGATGTTTTCCTTTGACAGGAAAATCCCGCGGGACTAAAGTTATCCTTTTCCATTGTTGATATTGAAGACTGGGTTTCATGACGCAATGCAAATAGATCTCTTTCTTGTCTTGTCTTGTCCGTTTTCCTTTTTTCTTCTTTTTTGTTATCGTGAACCGTTGCAAGCCTACATTCTGCTATGCTTCATCATGCTATATACGCTTCTATTGTATCACCTATGATTTACCTGGTTTACCACTACTACCAAGACTGGAAACATAACGGGCTGAGAGATGCAAGCCAGATCCAAGATCCGATCCGATCGAACATGAATCGTGTATGTGATGAACAATAGTAGAACACCGGTGACGGTAACTGTTAAGGGTAATGGGTAAGAGGGGAAAGAAGTGAATATTTACAGTGTAGATGTGAACTAATACATGATAGATACTGGGTACAGCACACGACGATGAAAGGGATCAAAACAGAACAGACAAGTAGTAAGACAGACAAGTAACCGGGTACACACGATCTGGGTATCTTTCCTTCTCAACGCGCACACAAAAAGCCCGAACCCTGAGAGATGACGATAGATCCAACAAAACAGATAACAGATATATCATCAAAAGTATGAGAGAATACAGTGATAGGAAGAAGAGAAATGAAGTAATTTGTGGGGAAAAAAAGAAGAATTGGAAAAGAGAATAGCAATTACTCCTCTGGCCCCTGCTCCACCATAGACGCCAACGCCGCACTCACAAGGCTCTTCCGTCTCAAGCCCTGCTCGTTCTTCTTGTGCATATCTCGCGACGAGCAGTGATAGCTCTTCTCGATGCGATGTGACGACGCCAACGCACTGACGCTGCTCTTCCGACGTGCCCGGGTCTCCGGACCAGCTGATTCCGCTGACGCGGCTGAAGAAGCCTGGCCACGGAACCGATTCCGCGACAAAGTCAGGGCACGTCTCCGCGGCGAAGTCTGCGGCGGTAGCGAACTGGGGTGATAGTCCTCTTCACAGATGGAGTCCCTGCATATGGCCGAACGCATGATCTCATCATCGGACACCAGAGCACGACGAATCGCCTCCACGTCAGACTGGTTGCATTGGAGACGGGAGATTTGCTGTCTTTGGGCCCGGACGGTCCAGGCGTCTGACGATGGAGCGGCTGTAGTGGCGTTGCCGTTCAGATCGATGTTGTCGGCTGCGGGGAAGTCTGCGGGCACGGAGGTAGGGCTCAGGAACGGCGAGCAGGATTGCGGAGAGAGGGAACCCGAAGTCAGGGACTCGTCATCGTGATCTGTGTCGGGCGGGGTGAGGACGTAGCCGGGGAACTTGGACGAAATGCCCAGATCCGATGGAGTGGGAGAGGCCGGGCGATCGAAGCGACCGGCTTCTTCGGGCTGCAGGCCGTTCGGGTTTTGGAGGGTGTGCTCGTGAAGTTTCCGCGTCAAAGTGCTGATAGAGAGCCGCTTGTGATCGTAGGCAGAGAAAGGCACGGAGGTGGGTGGCTGCTGTGCGGAGCGGAAGTATGAGGAGCGAGAGCGAGACGCGGTCCGGGGGAAGCGATGGGAGCGCGGGGACGGACAGCGCGACGACATGGGGGAGATGAGGGAACTGTCGCTGTCGACCATGAGGCGGTCATCGCCATCGAGCGCCAGGCGCGAGGGCCTGGTAGACGACGGAGACGAGAAGGAGAAGTCCTCGAACATGGTGACGGGAGTCTCTTGTCTCGGGGTTGGAGTCGAGACGGATTGGAGGATCCAGATGACCTTTTTAACAATATCTGGCGAGAGTGCGAGAGAACCCTGTGAGGCCTGTATAATCCGGACCAGATGGATGGGATGGAGATGGTGGTTGACGGATAGGCTATCTGGACATCAGGGGAGCCCTGGACTGGAGGGGAGGGAAGAGAGAGGGCGCGTTCCCGAGTTGCAATATAAGGCGAAATCGCACAGTGGCCAATTCTCGTATCGGGTGGGTTCAAAAAGGGACACGGGGTCTAGTCTGGTAGACGGAAGGGCTAGAAAAGGGAAACGAAAATTAGAAATAATAATTTTCACAAAAGAAATAGGAAAAGCAGGGAACGGATTAGGCACGTCGAGTGACGGTCGAACCTTGGGATGAATCTGGACGGACGCCGTGGGGAAGCGCCGCAGGGAATCAATCAACGGCAACGGTTGGGGTGTGTGGATCAAGTAGTTGTAGGGAAAAGGAGAAAGGGGAGAGAGAGAGAGTTGAAGGGAGGAAGAGAGTGAAAAAGAAGTAGGGAATCACCGACTGGGGCATGATTCCAGGCCATGTTAAGAAGAAAGGAGTAATGTAGGGCCCCCTTTTCATTAATCACCATATTATTGTTGCTATTGCTTTTCTCGCCATGGCTGGAGGAAGTGGCAGTTTGTATTCCGTGCACTTTTGGGCCAAAGAAGTAACCAAGAAGAATGAAAGAAGTGAATAATAATTAATTCTTTGCTGCCCTTCTAGAATTCCAGTTTTAGTCTAATCCCTCTTCGGCTCTAGCCGGCCATGACTCAGCCAGTCCGGCGTCTCTTCGGCTTCTCCTTGTTTCTTCTCTTCTCCCCTTCTCTCAATCCCTTCATCTACAAAAGTACAAAACTATCTCCCCTACGGCTGCTTCTTCCATCTGTCACCATTTGTCATTTCATCCTTGATTGGTGATTGCTAAACTGTGGCTTGCATTACTCACTTTTCTGCAGTATGGTACACATGAACAACACGCCCTCCCAAGAGGCAAGATGGCAAACACACCCGGGCGGGAATCGCCACCAACCAAGTTCACCATCCACTGACAAATCCACTCGTCTAAACCTGGATGGACTCTAGGGGCTCCCGGTTTGATTCCACCGACCCATCTCCAAGTGGTCCCCCTCCAAGAGTCTCCGGCGTTCTCGCCACCCAGGCCGGTTAAACTTTCCACCAACTCGGAATCTCACATTTGTCCTGCCAACCTGCCAACTCTATCTAATCAGTTTTGGTGAACTAGCCGCCGTTATACGTTGTCGCTAACCACCGTTACTATCGACACAGTCGCAAGCCTGTTGTGGATGAGACCCGTGCCATGGTTACTATTATAATGACTGTCCTTGAGGGACTGTTTAAGCTCTCCCTTGACAATCTGGTTCCTTGATCGTGAACCATGCCCGTAGTTGATATTTGTCGATCTATACCGGACTTTCTCCCCACAGTCATTATAATATACCCCAACAATGCCCCAGAATTGAAGATATGGCTCTCAGGTAATACAGCAAATACGGTGTCCAGTCTCAAGCACAGAATGACACCATGTGGGAGTTCTTTTCGCAGAAAACCATCTTCGTCACCGGAGGCACGGGCTTCTTGGGCACCGCATTAGTCCTCCGGTTGGTCTCGCAGGCTCGCCCAAAATGTATATATCTCCTCTGCCGGGGAGGCAAGCAGTAAACTCTGACCACACACAGCCCCAGTAACGTGTAAGTGAATCCCTGTGCTGATCTCCATCTCTTTTCCAAACAGTCGGGCCGTACAAAAATGGCAAAAGATCCTCCCCAAGCCCATGTCCGAGACGCTAATCTCGTCGGACCTGATCACCTATCTGGACGGCGACATCCAAGAGCCAAATCTAGCCCTTCCCCCAACCTCGCTTACACTCCTCAAAACAACCACCGAGATCATCATCCACGCCGCCTCATCCATCAACCTCGTGGACCCGCTCCACAAACTATCCCAAAGCATCATCGGCGCTACCGAACGGCTTGCCCACTTCGCGCTATCCTGCCCCCACCTCCACCGCTTCGTGTACATTTCCTCTGCCTTCGCGAACAGTCATTTCTACGCGGAAGCCTCCTCCCGGGCCGCCGTCGACATCTCGGTCCGAGAAACACTATACCCGCTTCATCCATCATCATCATCCCCATCCATCTCCACAGCAACAACCTACGAAGAGCTCCAATCCCGAGGCACAATAACGGAATACGAGTCCCGGTCTCACGATTTCCCCTGGCCCTACGCCTATGCCAAGCACCTCTCGGAACGGGTCCTCCTTCAAGCCTTCAACCAAAACCATGATCAAAGCCCAAACCATATCCATGATGCCTTCCCCAACAAACTCCTCATAATTCGGCCATCCATCTTCGGCCCGGCCCAGAACTTCCCTTACCGAGGCTACAGCGTACCCTTATCAACACCACTAACCACCATAGCAACAATGGTATCGCTCACCCCCTCAATCCGGTTCCACGCCGCGACACGCGCCAAGCATCCCGATACGGAAGTCACAGCGGACGAAGTGCCCGTGGACGTGGTCGTGGATCGGACGCTGTTTCACCTCGCCTACGGGAGTGTTGGCATTGTGCACGCCGTCTGCGGTGAACGCGGCCGGTACGCGTTCAAAGAGCTCTGGGACGATGGGATGGCGGTGCGGAAGATGCCCTGGCGGTTGAGGATGACTTGGCTGGATGTGGATTGGCATTCTCCGCGGTTGCATTATATCGTGAGGCTTTTTGTGCTTTATGGGATGTCTTTCAATTTCTCCGAGGAGAGGACAGTAGAGCTTTGGGATCGGGTTCCTGAGGATCAGAGGCAGGGGTTGAATGTCTTCAAGGATTATAGTAGGGGGTTTGATTTGGCGGATAGGAAGGAAGATATGCGAGTCTGCGCGAGAGCGCTTATGAGCTATTTTGGATATCCGAAGTGGATTGGATCGTTACTCTAGAGAGTGATGAGGAAAGCGGTAAATTATTAGGCGCGTAGGTTGGTAAGTAAGTAATGAGTAAATAAGCAGAATCTCTAACTTTAATCGAATCAAAGAACCAAATCAGTAACCAGTAACGAAATCAAATCCAGGTAGCAACAATATCTATCCCTCTTGTCCTTATATTAGTATTACCACCACCACCACCACCACCACTTACTCTTCCGCAACAATCGACATAACAATCGACTATTAAGCATCTCCTAGCGCCTGAGAAGCCCACCCAGCAAGCCCGAAACACTCGAGAGCAACGAGCTCACAGGGTCTGAACTTTTGCTATCATCATCTTTATCTTTGTCATCATCCTTGTCATCGTCTTTGCTTGGAGTGGAACTGTTGTTGGTGCTCGTTTCGCTGACATAGATGCTGGAGCCGCTGCCGGTGTTGGTACTTCCATTGTTGTCGCCGCTGCTGCTGTCGGTATCAATTTCGTTGGGCTCCTTACCGTTCGAAGAAGAAGAAGAGCTCTTGCTATCTGAAGGAGGAATATCTCTTAGCTATCATTCATAGTTATGTCGTTGTGGGATGAGTTATCATAACTGGGGCTAGTGGTTGAGGCTGGTACTGGCATAGCCCGACACCCCGTTGCTAGAAATTGCTAGCGAGATGCTGGACGTTGAGCTTGTGCCTGTACCACCACTGCCGCTGCTTTCATCCTCTGTTGGGGTGATCGTGATAACCAGGCTTGTGCCTGAGCCAACGTTGTCAGCGCCGGTGCTCTTACCGTTATTGTTGCTGCCGCTGCTTCCACTGCCTCCAGAACCATTGCTGCCTCCAGAGCCGTTGTTGCTTCCAGAGCCATTATTGCTTCCAGAACCATTGCTGCCTCCAGAACCATTGCTGCCTCCAGAGCCGTTGTTGTTTCCAGAACCATTATTGCTTCCAGAGCCGTTGCTTCCAGAGCCGTTGCTTCCAGAGCCGTTGCTTCCAGAGCCGTTGCTTCCAGAGCCGTTGCTTCCAGAGCCGTTGCTTCCAGAGCCGTTGTTGCTTCCAGAACCATTGCTGCCTCCAGAATCGTTGTTACCTCCAGAATCATTATTGCCTCCAGAATCATTATTGCCTCCAGAGCCATTGCTTCCTGAACCGTTGTTTCCAGAGACGTTGTTACTTCCAGAACCATTACTGCCTCCAGAACCGTTGTTGCTTCCGGAGCCATTGCTGCCCCCAGAGCCATTGTTGCTTCCAGAGCCGTTGTTGCCAGAGCTGTTATTATCACACCCATTGCTTCCACATCCATCATTTCCAGAGCCATCATTGCTCCCAGTACCAGTAAGTCCATCTGATCCGGTGATGCCGAGGCTGCCAGTCACACCAAGGTCTCCATCATTGCCATCAGAACTGCCGGAGCCATCGTCGTCATCATCGGAGCCTCCGCCGGAAAGCTGATTAGTGGCTTCAACATCTCTCTTTTGAGGGTAACCGCCTCCAAGGGCCAAAAGCCCAACGGACTGCTCTTCCTGTATACTACTCAGCACAATATACACACCGACATATACCGTAAGGGTAAACGTACAGTTGCGGGAGTCCTAGCCTGTAATTCAACAGGGTGAGCTCCAACCGGGGAGACAAATAGCGAAGCACTCGATAGTGCCAGAGCCAAGACGGCGGTGTGTGTATGGGAAGGCATTGTGCCTAGGGAGCGATAGATTCAAAAAGAAGATGTAGGCAGGAATGTTCGTTATACTTGAAACTGGAGGCCTCGGTGGAGACCAGAAAAATCTCAAGACGAATTCGAAGCTGGGGCATAAACGTGACTGGGATTAATTACAAGTCTCTCAATTTATAGCATTTCTCTAATGACCTACTATTCATCGTGATGGTGCCAAGATTTCCCGAAACGGCTTGACCAGACTAGGTGAAGCAACGTTCTAGGAGGATTTTGTCACACAGTCAACGCGATGTGATTCGAGATATAGATGTCCCCTTAATTCAATTAACTGGACCTCCGTGCACACTTTGGGTCCCCATGCAGCACCGCTAGCTCGGGCCCAGAGGCGTGTGTGGGCTAAAGTTACATGGTGTAGGAGGGCTACCCACACACCGATCCAAAGTAGTCGACATTTTTCAGAATAAGCTTGTGATAAGAGCTTGGCACAATAGATCTAGCTCTGGGCCCTAAGTGTACGAGAACATTTTGCCACTGTGTCGGCTCTGAAACTCATTCCCAACATGATTGGCTGAGTGCTGTTAACATCTCAGACAGGGACGGGTCCCGGGAGAACGGTAGCATTCTTTTGCTATTGCTTGTGTAACAGGCATCGCCAATCAATAGCACTCCTCTACTGGGAGGTTCAGGCCTTCTCCTCGGGGTTCGGCGAGAGAGTCGAGAAGGTCGTACAAGGCCGAGGGGTCATGACTGTCTATATTATATGGTATTATAGTGAGTGTGTTGCATCGATCACTATCCCACCCGAAGCCAATGTATAGCTGTGTTCTGGTCCCGGTGACGTCGCCTCGAGGTTGCCTTGCCGGCATTTTCTATGGAAAGTTGCTGGAGGAAACCCTGGGCGCCCCCCGTCTGTCCTGATTTAGTAAGGCTGGTGGTTGCAGAATGCGGATAAGCCAGCATTCTTAACTTAATCCGGGAAGTTTTCTCCGTAGGCGATTTAAGTCACGACGCGCGTGCTCCCTCATATTGGTAGTATAACTGCGAAAGTGCGGACGCATAGAGAATAGTCGACGAAGGAAAGCATACGTTAGAGTCATTGTAGCAACGGAATAAGTTGCGAGAAGTTGTGGACGAGATGAAGTTTTGGGGTTGGTTGGATGGAGAGTAGTAGTAGGGAGACGGAGGAGGGAGTACGGAGTAGTAACAAGGTTGGCTGGGAAGGAGCGACTCCGACTGGCTTCCCCGCATGGCTTCAACTCGGCCAACTTCTTTCTCTCTCGACTCTATCGCCTCGCCCTCCCTTCACTCACCCAATTTAGACACCCTTATCGCTAATCACTGTAATCTTACAATCACAGTCATGGCCTCTCTTCTCAAGAAACCATTGAAGCTGGCTCTAGTCCAACTGGCCGCAGGTGCGTACGATTGCTATCTCACTCCGTCCCCGCCTCCCTCGCTCGCTCCCAAGCTGGCCCGGATTTAATGCTGAGAGTTGATGATCTTCAGGCGCCGACAAGACAGTAAACCTTGCGCATGCTCGCTCCAAGGTTCTTGAAGCCGCCAAAGCTGGTGCCTCTCTTATCGTCCTTCCGGAATGTTTCAACTCCCCCTACGGTACCCAATACTTTCCCAAATACGCCGAGACATTGCTTCCTTCCCCACCCACCCAAGAACAGTCCCCCTCCTACCATGCGCTTTCGTCCATCGCCGCAGAAGCCAAGGCCTACCTGGTGGGTGGTAGCATTCCGGAACTTGAGCCGACCACGAAAAAGTACTACAACACCTCGCTGGTTTTCTCCCCCACCGGTGCCTTGATTGGAACCCACCGCAAGACTCATCTCTTCGATATCGACATCCCCGGCAAGATCACCTTTAAGGAGAGCGAGGTCCTGTCCCCGGGTAACCAGTTGACCGTGGTAGATCTGCCGGACTATGGTAAGATTGGACTGGCCATCTGTTACGATATTCGCTTCCCAGAGGCCGGCATGATTGCGGCTCGGAAAGGCGCCTTCATGCTCGTCTACCCGGGCGCTTTCAACACCACCACCGGTCCGCTGCACTGGTCGCTGTTGGCTCGTGCTCGAGCCGTTGATAACCAGGTGTATGTGGCTTTGTGCAGTCCCGCTCGAGACATGAGCGCTTCGTACCACGCCTACGGTCACAGCTTGGTTGTGGATCCGAGCGCGAATGTGCTGGCCGAGACGGAGGAGAAGGAAGATATCATCTATGCGGACCTGGATAACGAGACTATCCAGAACACGAGGAAGGGTATTCCCATCTACACGCAGCGGCGATTCGATTTGTACTCGGACGTGAGTGCCGATAACAAATAGCCCTGCACCTCGCATTAAGTGCGATAAATATAAGCTGCAAGCCAGTCATAGCCTAGAGTATAACTGAACGACTTAATGAACCTAGTCCGCGACCGTCATCCTGGAAAAACGCGATAACTAGTCAATAGTAAGAGTAGGAGAGAGCAAGTAAGAAAGCCTGAAGCGGGAATGATTGTTGCCTCAGGCAATGACATAGTTAGCTGCGGGAAGGTACTCACGTGCTGGTAAAATGGACGAATCAGAGTGTGCACAGGCGATAAGCGAGCCGCACTGGAAAACCCACCAGCACTGCGAAAAAACACCATCTCGAAATCTCCTCATCCTTGACAGTCGACGACCACTGCAGCCCACGACAGCCGACACTTCTGTCCCTCATTCAGTGAGTGAGATCTCTCCGCAGATTTGCTTGAATCTCTTATTCTTTCCGCGAGAATCACTCCCATCCTAACATTATTTCCTCAACCACAGAAATGTCCGCCCCCGTCAAGACCGGCAAGAAGACTCGCTCGGCCATCGCCGACGTTGTCACCCGCGAGTACACCATCAACATGCACAAGAGAGTACGTTGAACACAGCCAAACACCTGCACTTGAGATTCATCACAATTCGACTCTACCTGCGAGCGATTTCCGCGGAACCTCGAAAACATGGAGGCAATTGGACGGAGAACAAAAAAGACAAGCGGGAGTCCGAATCCTCGTTTCCTCCTCCCACCTCTACCGCTCCCGAACTCGAGGAATACGAGTGAAGAAGGAGAGGTTTAGGGCGAGAGAGCCCACCGCACCTGTCTGAAAAATTACATGTGTGGAGGAACAATCAGGAACCAGATTGTTGAGGAAAAAGAAGAAGAAAAACCCATAAAAAGAAGAATTAGTTTGATGAAGTCCACCTCTATGGCCGCATTTTCGCAAAGCAAAAATTTCCAAAATCACATCTACCAGATGGCATTCGGGCGGAAGACTAATATTCGTTCTTTTTTTGGGTATAGATGCACGGTGTTTCCTTCAAGAAGCGTGCTCCTCGTGCTATCAAGGAGATCCGCGCCTTCGCTACCCGTGCTATGGTTAGTTCTCCCCTCCAATACCCAAATACAAATCACCACCTAACGCATACTCTCATTGAACAGGGCACCACCGACGTCCGTGTCGACCCCCAGCTCAACAAGAAGGTCTGGGAAGCCGGTGTCAAGGGCGTCCCCTACCGTCTCCGTGTCCGCATCTCCCGCAAGCGTAACGACGAGGAGGGCGCCAAGGAGAAGCTCTACTCCTACGTCCAGGCTGTCAACGTCAAGGATGTCAAGGGTCTTCACACCGCCGTTGTCGATGAGGAGTAAATTTACTCTTCATTGATTAATAAAAAACAAACATCATGTATCTTATTCCCCCTATAAAAAAATTGGAAGCCCTGATTCTTTGCGAGCTTGACGGGTTCTCCCCTTTTTTTATTATTCATGATGGATGATGCAACGGGACGGGGTTCGGCTTTTTGGAAGAGATCAATAAAAAAATTCCAAAATCTCCTTCCATTTTTCTTTAGTACTATATCAGTAGAAGTACGTAGGGTGATTGATCGACAGTGTTATCGTAGTAGTAGTAGTAGTAGTAGTAGTAGTAGTAGTAGTAGTAGTAGTAGTAGTAGTAGTAGTAGATTGGAGTCTTGGTGGAGGACTGTGTGTGGGCTATCAGCTACCATGTCTAATTTTTCCTACGCATGGTAGTACTACTGTTCGTGGTGGTAGTGGGGCACATACATACCATACCTTAATGTCGTACTGTAGTATCAGTCATGGCAGTTTTACGGGTCACAAATTTTCCCACCCACCAATCATTAATGATACTACAAGAAAAGAATTCCAGATGTGATTAAGAAATTTCATTAGAATTCTTAGAGAAAAGTATAAACATGGAACAATGGGCAATATCGAACTTCAGAAGCACAATACCATTTCGCAAAGAAGTGAAACAAAAACCAGATTCTTCGAATTCCCCACTCGCTATGCTAGATGCGCCTGTTTTCTGGGTTGGGCAGACAGAGAGTAAGAGTAACAAACGACGCTACCGAAGATGCAGCCGCAGCAATCAAGTTGCACGATGCGAAAGAAAAAAACAGAAAAAGAGAAATATTTTTACTTACACAGGTTCTCGAAATCGGGGAGGAAAGGATGATTGATGTGTCTGAAGGGTGAAAGTGAAGGGAGAAGATGGGAAAAGAGACAATCAATCTTCAAAGACAAGTTCCCGGTGAGAATATCAGAGGAAAGGAAAAACCACAGATGTCCGTCTGTTTGTTCGGGCGGCAGACAGCCGATCATCTTTTGTCGGCCTGTCATGAATGAAAAATAAAGATAATAACAGTAGCTGGCAAGGCCGGATGATTCAATTCCAACGGACAAAAGGGAGAAGGGCGTGGACCTAAAACGGCGCAGGGTGGAGGGTCTTCTGATGCAGAAAAGCAAGTAGATATAAAACAGAAATCAAGCGAGAAAAAGCACACCATAATACATCGCCATTTAGACGCCAGCAAAGTCCATCAAGTAAATTCAGTCGCATATCCTATGTACCGCATCTAGTCGTAGAAATCAAAGTGTGCAGTACTCAGTTCTTTGTTTCTTCCATGGATTTGCAGAGGCGCTCAGCATCCGCGTTCGTCTTGACCCGCAGGGCCCACATCTGAGGAGGGCCTTCGGATTGAGGGACAAGGAATTGGACGCTGTTCTTCGCCACGGAGTATCGAATCTCTTTCATCAAGCGCGTGTTCAGAATCACCTTGCCGCTCGGGTCTGCCCGGACGACAATCCGCCCACGAGAAGTGGTCCGATCCTTCAAAACGCGAAGGAATCCAACGCCTTGACTCTCCCACCCTGTGCCAGTTGTATGCTTCATGGCACGGGCCCGGCTCTCAGTCACAAGATCTTCGTTTTCCTCGCCGGCGCCGCCCCGCGTAAGATCGACCTGAGGCAGGGACTCGGCGCCATCACCGTCTCCCGACTCTTCTGCTCCCGTGTCCGATGCACCTCCGGGGGTGGTGGAACGGCTGGCAGCGGCAGAAGTAAGTGTGGATGGAGCAAAGACAGACGGCGACGACTGCCCCGGCGTACCAAAGGTAAACCCAAGGGACGGTTGGGCATCCTTAGAAGTAGATGATTTGTTTAGAGAAGGCGGTGCTCCGAAAAGATTGGAGAATGGCTTGGGCGCCTCAGGTGCTGGTGTTGCCGACCCAGAGTCCGGCTTTGACGATGAAGCGCTGGCAGAGTCGCTGGCAAACTTAATCGGAGAATCGGGCTTCCAGGTGTTATCCCCAGTCGACTTAGTGGCGCTTTGGGCTGCATTGAAGATGGAAGGGGTGCTGTTTCCCGAACCAGACAAGGGTGTACCAAAGATGCTGCTAGTTGTGCTCGGTGCGCCAAAGAGGTTGGTCGTCGCGGGCTTCGCCGCAGCTTGGTTGGACTCGCCACTGCTGGCTGGTGTGAGGGAGGTGGGAGTGTTAAAGGGAGATGAGAAGTTGGAGGACCCGAAGAGACTCGAAACGTTACCCTTTTGCTCCTCTTCACCCTGGCGCTTAGGTTTTCCGTCCTCGCCATACTGAACGCGATCGAATAGGCTGCGACCACCAGCTTCGGGCTCTTTGGCTGAGGACTCGGCAGATTCAGTCTTCTTGTCAGCTGAACCAGCATTATCCGTCGCATCGTCGGACTCGTCGCCAGGAGTGGAGGCTTCCTCGGTGTCATCCGCATCGTTGTCATTGTCATTGTCATTGTCTTCGGCCTCAGATGGAGTCGCCGACAGATGACCAAAAATATTGTTGGACTTGACTGCAGCGTTGTTTTGGCTTGAGAAGACGGTGCCAGCGCCGGGGGTGGTGGAAGAGGACTCCTCTGCCTTCTTTGCAGGAGACTCGTTGCTCTCATCTTCAAAAACGAAGCCTTTACCAGGGACGAACTTTGCACGCTTCTGGGTTTGACTCCCAAACTGCTCTTTCTTTTTCCGTTGCTCCTCAGCGTCACGGCGTTCCCACTCGGCTTCGTCTTCTTCCTCCGAGTCAAAGTCCTCGGCTTTGCGCTTCTCTTTCTCCTTCTCGGCATCCTCAAAAGACCGGGCCTTGAACTGGGCAAAGAAGTCTGTGCCACCTGCAGAGCCTGTGGAAGATCCGTCACTGGAGGTAGGCTTCAGTACAAAGGGATTCTTGGGAGCGGTTCCAGGTGTGGCTGATGCTGAGGTAGCACTAGACATGGACGACGAGAAAAGCGAGGTGGAAGCCGAACCCTTCGAAGTCGAATCTGAGACAGAGAACAGAGGTTTGGCGGGTGCCGTAGTTGGCGTGGTAGAGAACAGAGCGGGTTTAGTAGGTTCGGGGGTGGTCGGCTTGGTCACGGCAGGTTCAGGCTTGTCAGCCTCGGTCTTGGACTTTGAGAATGACTGAGCAAATATGTTTGCAGTGCTGGAGTCTCCGTTCACACGCTTAGCAGGACTGTTGCTATCGCCATCATCAATTGACCTTCTCTTGGCATTTGCCGGAGAGGCCTGGCTTGTGCCAAACGCCTTGAACGGTGTGGAGGTTTGTGCAGAAACAGCCGGAGCAGTAGAGCTCTCCTTGGGTGTGTCAGCCTTTTCCGTGGGGATACCAAATGGCCGAGCTTTCTTAGTTGTCACAGCATCCTCAGCTTCGCCCGATGCCTTGCGCTTTGAACCAACGGAAGCGCCAAGGGTGGCGCGAACACGCATGTAAAACTGGACAGCGGTGTCGAAGTTCTGACTCGAAGGGTCCAATTTAGCTAGCTCGCGCTGGAAGCACTCGTTCAGTGTGCGCATGCGATAAAGCATCTCAGTATCTTCGGAAGTTTTCTTATCCGTTGTCTTATCTGCCAGTTTCGGAGTCTGCATCTGTCCGAAGGTAGACGGTGTGGTGTTTCCGTTGGTGAAAACCGGAGGTGTGGACTTCGCACCATTGACCTTGACGGGACTAGCAGTGGGAGCAACTGAAGTTGAAGCCACCGTTGCTTGAGTCTCCGTGGCGGGAGCCGGTGATGCTGCAGGCTTGGGTGAGAAGAGATTCGAGGTTTGGGAGAAACCACCACTTGAAGGGGTAAATGACACTGGACCAGGGGTGGCCTGCTTTTCCGGTTCGCTCGTCTTTGCTGCATCGTTGGGAGCACTTGGCTTGGAAAAAAGGCCCTGGAAAGGTGTGGAAGAGGAAGGAAGGGGCTGCTGCTCGCCTGCAGGTTTGCTTGGAGTCGCCGGCTTCGCAAACAAGCCACCAAAGGGGTTTGCTGGCGCCTTAGTCTGTTCCGAGTCTGCAGTTGCAGGTGGCTTAGGCTCAAAGAGATTCTTCGTAGACGAAGTCTGGAATAAACCAGTCGAAGGAGCAGCCGGAGCTGCAGAGGCAGTGGCATCGCTCTTGGCAAACAGAGAGCCTGGTGTAGTGGTTGATGCAGAGAACTGGAATGGAGATTTAGGCTGCGACTCGGCAGGCTTTGGCTCTTCCTTCTTCTCTTCGGTGGGCTTTTGCGATGTCGAGGGCGTGGTTTGGAAGAGGTTCGATGACTGGAAAGGATTTTGGAATGGCGTAGAGGGCTTCGCGGGGGAAGCGGCGCCGAATAATGAGGACGATGCCGGAGCAGCGGTGGTCGCAGCAGCCGCGGCGGGTGTCGAAGCAGAGGGGGTAGGGGTGGCAGCGCCGCCAAACAGTGATGTTGAAGGCGTGGTTGCCTTGAAATCGAAGACGGGCTTAGAAGGGGTCTCTGCGGCCGACGAAGCAGATGCGCCAAACAATGAAGTGCCTCCAGCGCCCGCAAAGCTGGGCTGAGCCGGAGGGGCGCTACTAAAGATGGATGGTTTCTCCTGGGAACCGCCACCCTTTGCATCAGGGGAAGTTTGCATCGAGTCATCGCCACTAAAAGCTGAGGATTGACCGAATGGGGACGGCTTTTTCACGCTAGACTGCCCGAAGAGATTCGTTGAAGGTGTACTAGCAGCAGCAGCATTGTTTTGGCCGAATATGCTTCCTGAGGCGGGAGTAGCCGCACCAGAGGCAGAAGGGCCATTGTTTGTGCTGGCACCGAAGAGGCCACCCGTGCTAGCGTTCGACTGAGATGATGTGCCAAATATTGAGCCTGAAGGCAAAGGCTGCTGAGCGGGGGATTGGCTTCCGCCCGGAGGAACGTTAAACATTGAGCCCTGGAAGCCCGAGAAGCTGGCCGGTTTAGATGACTGGTCGGAAGTGGTAGTGTTCATACTGGCGAATGGATTGCTAGCTGAGCTTGTACCGCCAAAGGAAGAAGAGAAATTGAAGGAAGAAGAGGAGCTTCCACTCCCTCCAGAGCCAAAAGCAAATGGAGTGCCTCCGTTCTGGCTGGGTGCCGAACTAGCTCCTGGGAAACTCTGATTCTGACTCTGGCCGAAAGTGAATCCGTTGGAGGCTGGCTGGGAACTAGCGGGTGTGGATGAGACTGTGTTAGGGTCGATGGAAGCGAAAGGGCCTCCGCCAAACGACGGCGCGGGAGCACTCGGAGCAGCACTGTTGGGACGGCGCCTCCGAACTTCTTTAATTCTAAAAATAGGGTTAGCAACGAGGTTGTGATTGATTGACGTGCAAAGGATACTGATGAGCGAGATGATAAGATGAAACATGAGGTGGAGTGGTATGAACGTGTGGAGAAGGCAACGTGTTCGATGAAAAGAGAATACACAATTAAGGAAAAGAAAAATAGAAAGTGACGGGAGATCAAACTCAAGCCCTGTTTTCAACACGCGTCCCAGTAACTTTGGAGGCTGCAGGACAAGTGAATGATTGCATGCATGAGATTGGCCGTAAAGGTCGGTCTACATCCACTTACTTTCTGTTCGCAAGCTGCGCCGCGGTTGCCCGCTGCGGCTTATCGTCCGGTGTGCTCGACATGTTGAATGCAAATAGATCGCTGTCCTTGTCCCCTTGAGGGCCCTGGGCCGATCTCTTAGACATCTATAGTTGAGCCCCCGATGTCTTCAGCGGCGAGATCCTCGATGGTTTTTCAGACAGCAGTTGACTTCAACCCCTTCTTGTGTGTCCGGTTTCACCCCTTATGGACCGTGCGGCATGCACAGTGTACGATTATTCACTGCGTACAAGTGATATCCAGGGACAGCAGTTGACCTCTCGAGTCCGGCCGGTAAACTGTGCCCGTAGCTCCAAAGACTCCTAAAGGCACGTCGGTTGATATACGGGGTCCCTTAATCAAGTGGGTGTGAATGGATCCGCAAGCAGAGCGATCAACGTATTCCGCGCAGGTATCGTATCGAAGAATCGCAGGTGATTTGATCAAAATCGGTGAATTATCCAAACATAGACCTGTCCAGGAAGTGAGGGCAGGTTATGGCGCGATCGTCTGGTGAAAGAGTCGCGCTGCGCGAAACTAGCGAGGCCACGAGACCAGAACGGGATCAAGGGAGGAGGGAAGGGAGTTGAAAGGCAGAGCAGTGAACGTTAGGTACTGCTAGATGTAGTGATGAAGAGGCGCGGCTCCATTCGATGCGCTCTGCCTTGGTGAAGATGGGGAGATGTGCTCAAGTGAGCTTCTATTTTTTAGCCTTGAAGCGTCGGCTCGCGACTTTTGCCGGCAAAGAGGGAAGGTTGCTGGCAGAAAAAATTACGGTCACGTGATGTCCATGCAAGGTGACATCTTGGCGGGATGACATAAAGGCGCTTTCGCTTTTTTACGTGCCCCAGGCGAGGCGACTTGAGCCATGGTCGACCAGGATCTTGCTTAGCAAAGAGACTCTCTACTAGGTTAGCCGGCGGCCAGTATCATAATGATGATGATGGGGCTCTTTGGCTCTGATGTTGAAAGAAAGGAAGGGTTTCTTTCTTTTGTTCTACAACCCCCATCCTTGTCTTCCGCATTCTGTATTATTACCACAATTACACAGACATCCTGCAGAGCAGGCGGCATGTCAAACGGTACCCTTACGGGGTATTGTGATTTCTTCCCACTTCGGGTCACCCGCAACCCTTTCACCTTCTGGTTTCCATGACAAGTTCCCTCATTCTCGCAGCTGCAGGGCGTGCCGTTTTCGCAGCACGGATAGTTGACACCTACATGTGTCTATTCAATTTAATATTCTTGATGGTCGGAGAGTGCCGATCTGATTGTCCGCATATTTAGGTCACTATATGTTTGGTGAGTGTACTACAGAGCAGTAATAGTAGTAAGTATAGTGTAGTGGTCGTAGCCACTACTGCTTCGGCAAATATATACTTCATCGGCATGACGTGACCACTCACCACAATCAGAAAGCAGCGTGATAGTAAAAAGCCCGATAACGGAGGGTTTATCGACGTGACGAAACACGGCCATAGAATCAGAATTTGCCCTTTCTCCGGATTTGCCTCTTCCTTACCCTAGTCGTAGTTCCTATTTCTATAGCTCTACTGAATACTACTAATACTAGCAACTGACTGAAATGACGTCGCGGCATTGTTAAGCCTATCCCTAGCACATACATAGTCCTTGGCAAAATACACGAGCAGTGCCTAATGACCTACAATGTAAATGAGACCCACTGATGAATAAAAAGAACACAAGAAACAGCAGTGTTTCACTGTTGATGTTTCAACTGTAGCAAAAAATAACGAGCAAAAATCGGGTATCTATAGCTTGGCCTTGCCCTGGGCCTTCTTCAGGACGGGCTCCATCTTGGTTGCCTTCATAATGTTGCCCTTAATCTTGAGCTTCCCACCCATGAAAAGTCTCTGAGCGTTGGCCTTGCCGCTTACGAGGGCACTGAAGTCGGCATCCGAAAGGGAAAGAGTCACTGCCATAACATCGATGCCTCATCAGTATCGGATACATTATTTGGTGCAGAAGCTGATTGAACTCACCATCGGCCTTTCCTCCCTCGGGAGCAGCACCCTTGCCCACGACACCCTTGTCCTTGAGGTCGAGATACCAGCTCTCTTCTTGGCCCTTGTCGTTCTTGATGTTGAAAGCGACGACCGCTTTAGCCTTGTTGATGGCCTCTTTGCGCTCGGCAGCATCAGCCTGTAGAGTCGAGTTGATGGCGTCGAAGGCGGCAGAAGAAGGGAAAGCGTCTGTAGGGGTGCCACAAGGCTCAGCCACAGCTCCAGATTAGGATGGCGACCAGAGGATAGACGTACCGTTCTTGAGAGACATGGTGACTATGAGAGGAGATAGGAAGGGTTCACAGACAATGAACGAAGAGGTAAGGAATGAGTAAGTTTTGATGTAACCAGAAGTAGTCAGACAGGCTGTCACTGAGGAGGGACCGGAGTTATATATTAATAGCAGCGCTGGACCCCGGGGTTGCTTATTCTTGCAGTGAGAGCTTCCCCGGAGAGTTCGGGCGACGGAACATGTGAAATGGAGGCGGTCGCGGCACGGTTGGACCGAGGCTGTCCACTACTAACTAGTAGTTAGTAACTAGTCAGTCAGCCAGCCAGCCAGTCTTTCTCCTGTGATCTGTGATCAACAAAGTAGTACCACCACCACCACCACCTTGATTGTGACCCTTTGCTTCTTGCTTTACAGTCTACATTGCACTTCTCCCTTGCTGCAGATGTCGGATGAATAAATATTTTACATAGAACTATACGTCAGCGGTGCAGATTGACTGGTTCAATTGCACAAGCCAGACTGCTACAAAAAGCTACTTGCTTCCTGCCTTGGTCAACCTTGCTGATAAACTCTCGACGACCCAACCAACACCATTCTCGGTCTCGGAGATCTACATAAATCTTTACTCCGTTACCGCTTCCCCATATGGTTGTTTTAAGTAACCTGACCGAGGACCATTTTGCAAGTCGGATACTGATACCCACATGCAAGCGATCGTGTCTCGTGTGACTTGGCGCTCTCACACGCCCACCCATCATTGTCCGCGGGATCGCCCCAAAAATGATTTCATTTTTGCCGCCTCAGGCAGTCTACTCACTTTGCAATACCAGGGTCTCTACACAGTATACAACTTGAGACGCAAATACAATCATTTGTTTCCTAAACCTAACTAATCTCTAACCCGTATCATCTTACCAAACTCGGCACGGCAACTCTCCACTGATCGCCGCAACACAAAGGCATCCAGACATCGCCTTTCGTGGCTCAACTTCATTCACACGTAACCGAGTTACGCTTCTTACGCCGCACAGTGAGCTTTGTGGTCACAGGTGGCAGCTGGAAACGGCCCCATCCTACATGATTATTGGTCAACACTGTTCTCCTGCTTATAATGAATACCCATCAGCGAAACTTACTGTGAATCTTAGGACGCACTAAGATAGGCTGAATGTCATAGTTTAGTAGCATCTCCGCGATGAACACCTTGAAAATGTGGGCGAAGATAAAGCGTCCAGGGCACTGCCGACGACCGTGACCGAAGACCACATACTCATCGCTAGGCGTGGTCATCGAACTCTGACGTCTCTCGCTTTCAGATGCATTCTCGATATAGAATCGGTAGGGATTGTATCTATCCGCCTCCGGATAGAATTCCTCATCCCGGTGGAGGGCATACTGGGGGATCCCAACCTTTGTCCCGCAAGGCAGGAAAAGACCGTTTGCAAGAGTGACACCATTGGGAGCGACAACCTGAATTGTAAGTGAGACCACGAAGTGAGAAAGGGGAAAGTCAGAATTTCGTGCATACCTTCCTCGTCGGGCTGGCAGCGTTAATGCCGTTCAACCGGAGGCTCTCTTTCACAGCACTGTCTAGCAGTGCAGCCCTTCCCAGGTCCTCTGCCGTCCAGTCCCCACTTGAACCACCAGAAATGCTCTCAACTTCTGCTCTGAGATGATTGACAAGGTTCTCATCAACCGGATCACTCAAAATATCAATAAGAACACTTGTAGCAGACACTGCAGTCGTGTGTACGCCCGGGAAATTGATCATGAAGACTCTATATGATAGCCACATGGACGTGGCTTCCATCGGCCATTTGCTGCGAAGTCCGGCCCGAATGAGCAGGTCCAGCAAGCTATCCTGAGGGAAAGTCAGCACAAAACCGAAGACCGTGGGCAAGGTACTCACCATAGACTTCAGCGTTTCCTCTTGGGCTTCGGGATCCGTCTGATTTTGCTGCTCTTTGATCTTGGACTCAATAATAGGCTTCATACGCTTGTGGAAAATCACCTCGAAGTATCTATTGACCATTCCTACAATGGGCCCGATGACTCTGAGAGAAGATTAGACCCCCGGGTAATACGATTAGTGTGGATGTACGTACGGGTGAAGGAAAGACGGAAACGCCTTTATGATACTGGCCCCAAAGACGATGGCATCCGAGCAATGTGCCATGGCATTCAGAAGGGTCTCGTCGTCGCTATGGCCTGGTCCAATCGCCAGCACATTGATCATCCGCGACGCCATCTTCTCCATTGCACAGTACAAGTTGATCTCGACCCATTTGTCAGTATCTTCGCCCCAGAGGTCTTTCAGGCATGATCGGGCTTCCTCAGCCAGTGATCTTGCAACCGTGTCCGTCTTGAGGGTTTCCGTCAGATCTTTACTGATGAGCTTGACATAGTTGTCATATTTATTGGCAAAGGCCAGCGGCCAGCTGGTGTACTTCAGTTGGAAAAAGTCAGTAATATAGGCTTTGAAGCTGTATTCATTTTCTTTTGAAAACAAGACGTGCTTGGCCAGGTCTTTGGGGAGAAGAACTTCATCGCCCTCGGCGACGCTGGGCAGCACGAATGGTTTTTGATGTTTGGAGTACTAGATAAAAAATGATATCAGCAAGAAAGACATGCTTCGAAGGGGTGCCACCAACCTTCTGATAACCCTCGCGAATAAAGCTTATGGGGTTGACGCCAACGAAACGCTCCACAGCACGCCCTAGGAGACTCTTCCTGTTCAAAGCCCGAGGAATGTCATTAGGAACCGGCGAAGTCTCAAAGAGTTTCACGACAAGACACAAGCCAACGCCTATGATGCCTATCACGAGCCAGGAGGCGGTGCTGATTCCGAGAAACATGTCTCCTAGTTTGGAATGTGTAATCGATCCTTCAGACTAAGATGAAAACGCCCATTTACCGGATTGGATTGGTCGATACTATAGAGTGATCGCTACGTACAGGCACACCTTTTATGTACTCACAAACATAGGACTACTCTATGGTTTCTGACACCATCATCGGCTGCTTCCAGGATTTATCCTATTGATCAATGTATGGGAGCTCTGGAGAGAGCAGGTATATTCAGTTACAAAAGGCCCAACCAACCTTG